TCCCCCCCCCCCCCCCCCTTTTTTTAAGAAATCTATAGAACAATGAAATGGTAAAGGCACTTGGCATTAAAAGAAAAGAGAAGTTTTACTGAAACAACATCTTAAATTAAAAAATGGAGCGTTTTTACAAAATGATTCACTGATAAAATTTGACCAAGTGCTCTACATTCCATGTCCTATCAATTTCTTTTCCCTTGGGAGTCACCAACTTGTAGGTACCTGGGCGAACAACGGCCTTGATGATATAAGGTCCTTCGTACTTCTTAGCCAGCTTCCCACCCTTAGTTGGTTGACTTTTCTCTCGTTTCCTTAGAACATAATCCCCCACTTAAAATGCCCTTGGTCTCACCTTGCTATCAAAGTAAGATTTAACCTGGCGGCGATAATTCTCAGCCCGGATACGTGCTTCATCCCTTCGTTCTTCTACAAAATTCAGCTCTACGGCCTGATTCTGTTCGTTCACCTCCGGGTCATATTCCATTTCTCTCCTGGTGGGGATTACTACCTCAGCGGGAGCCCGGGCTTCGAAACCATAAGCCAAGCCGAAAGGAGTGTCACCCGTGGCTCTCTTGGGAGTCGTCCTGTAGGTCCATAGTGTTACTGGTTTTAAACATTACATGTTGCTCTTAGATGATTATTCTCATTTTTTATGGGTATTTCCTCTTAGAAGTAAATCTGAAGCATACTCACATCTCCACACTTTTATTGCCTTTGTGAAAAATCAGTTTAACACTACTATTAAGGCTGTTCAATGTGATAATGGCACCGAATATAAAAACACTCCTCTAAGGAATTTCTTCGACTCCTTGGGCATTCTTTTTCGCTTCTCCTGTCCACACACCAGTCAGCAAAATGGACGGGCTGAACGTACCATTCGCACCATAAATAATACTGTCCGCTCCCTTCTATTCCAAGCCCAACTCCCACCTACTTTTTGGGTTGAGGCGTTACATATGGCCTCACATCTCTTTAATATTCTCCCCACCACCACTCTTCAAAACCACACTCCTCATGAAGCTCTATATGGCACAAAACCCACCTACTCTCACCTCCGGGTCTTCGGGTGCCTCTGTTATCCCAATCTTTCCGCTACTGCTCCACACAAGCTCGCCCCCCATTCGGCCCGTTGTGTTTTTCTTGGGTACCCGTCTAACCAACGGGGTTATCGCTGCCTTGATCTTCTCACCCATAAAATTATAATTTCCCGTCATGTGGTCTTTGATGAACACTCCTACCCTTTCTCTCACCCGGTCTCACCCCCCGATTTTGCCTTTCTTGACTCCACGGAGAACGACATAAACCCACACCACACCCATTTTACCCCTCTCACCTCTACCGNTACCCAACAACTCGGCCCAACCCAGCCAGCCTGCCAGCCCATTAAATGCCGAAACAAATCTCCCCCCATCTCCTCGGCCCACACAGCCCAATAACACCACCACCACCCATCACATGATAACCCGATCCAAAGTCGGCATATCCAAGCCCAAACAGATCCTTAACCTTAACTCCATGGCTCAAATTTCCCCTCTCCCGCCCACCTACCGTAGTGCACTTAAGGATCAAAACTGGTACAATGCTATGTGTGATGAATTTAATGCTTTGATCAAAAATGAAACATGGGAATTAGTACCTCCCTCCCCCACCCAAAATATTATCACTGGTAAGTGGCTCTTTCGCCACAAATTTGGCCCCACAGGTGAACTGTCCAGGTACAAAGCTCGATGGGTGGTCCGTGGATTCAATCAGCGCTTTGGCATCGACTATGATGAGACTTTTAGCCCGGTTGTCAAACCGGCCACGGTACATATTGTTCTCACTCTTGCTC